TGTTGGCATTTTTTAGCTTGAACATAGTATTAATAATTATAAGGTTGTATTCGTATGCGTACTGAATAAGTCTTTCTCCACAAATGCTTCTCTTCCCATAACCATATGCGCCGGTAACAGAGTGCTCATGTTTTTTGGGGATTCTAATCTGTGCGTTGAAATCTCCCATTGAGATTATGTAGTTTGTAGAGATAGAATCGTGAGCTTTCGCTAGATCTTCATAGAAATTGTCTATGTCTTCTTGAGGTGATTTTTCTGTAGGCGCATAAGCCTGTATTATTGCAAAAAAATAAGTTTTCAGGTTCTATTTCTAATACGCAGACTCTCTCTGATATACCTATGAATGTTTTGATTTTTTCCTTATGTTTTTTCTTGACCAGGAAGAATAATAGACTTGGTGACCATTTAATTTGTAAGTTAAAAAGTGTAATTTGTGTTGTTCAGAAAAATGGTTACTGTCATTGGATTTAAATGTAAATGCTTCTTTATTGTTTTCTTCAAAACTACCAAATAAATTCCACTCCGAGTATTCCACATTTAAACCATACAGCAGAAGTATTTGTTTAATTACTGGTGGCTGTACGAGTAATTTAAATGTGAAATGTTTTTAAACAACATTATTGTTGTAAAAAATGTTATAAAATTTACTACAATTACAGTAAAAAGCGTAGAACTTTAATGTAAGTATAATAAATCTTTCTAGTCTCAGAAAAAGTTTTTTGTGTGTATATTTTTCGTTATTGTAACTGACATTAATAAATGTTTTAAGTCGCGATTTGATAAACCGTTGACGTACTATAATTTATGATTAATTACACGTATATGTATACTTTTTTCCCTTTAAGTTGTGATAACAATGGATGAGTTACACAGTTTAATTTTAAATGCTTTATCACACACTGTAAAAGATCGTTTTAAATTCTAGCCTTGTTTCTATCTTGAATAACGTTTGCATTATTGCACAATTCATAATGAGGGTTCTTAAGTCTTTTCGAGAAGCAGAGGGATAAAATTATACATACTTACACGTTACAAACAATATAAGAAAGAATATATACAAGAATACATTGCTACAATAACTCCGGAGGTACATATACGGAGGTTATATATCCTTTTATCGTTTACATGTTAATAAACTCTTAACAAGATTTCAATATTTAAAAAAAACCGGTTATAATTAGTTCCTATATATTTAATACTTTGTCAAGATGTTTGAGAAGAAATCAGTTTTAAAATGTCACAAATACACACTTACTATAGATACCTAACGTCTCTATTCAATCCCAATATTAACGTTAGCTCTGAAAAGATACCCTTCGTTTTCCTTTAACTTCTTATAGCCGTATTTGGTTTAATACACCATGAACACAACCATACACCACTCAATAACACCTCACTTACGTGTCTATCCAACTTTACACGTCAATCGAAAGTTGTCGCCTATCACCCGCCAGCAAATCATGAACTCGTAAAACTGGTGCGATACCGGGACGGTGTCGTGTGACCCCGGCATTAAGTACAGGTTATTTATTTAGGCGCGCCGTACACCGTGGCAATCCGTAACTGGCACCAAACTGGCATCACTCATTGTACTGTCTTGCTTCGTTCGAACAACATTTCGTTTTCTTTTGTAAGTTTTGGTAAAGTAAATCGAAGTTCGAACACCTATTTGGTAGACTTGACAGTGATTCGATGAACATTCGAAATACATTTTTAGAGTGAATTATAGTTTGAAACTCAGAGTAGCTTAGCTCACAATTTTAAAACCGTATTCGCACCGCAATAGTAAAAAAATATACAAAATACTGTTACAGAGGATAAGCCCAAGTAAAGGGACACTAGTCTCCTGATATTTGGGCAATCACTTAGATAACTAGAGTGAATTAACGACCTAGATATAAGAAAAATAAGCCCAGATACGTACAAATCTGAATAGCCCATTAAAAGCTTACATAGTTGGTCCATTTTTCCAAAAGTTTCTGCCGTTTGTCCTAATAATAAAATGAACTTTATCGTTGTTGAAATATTCTCAGTATCCATTATTTAATAGCTTCAAGAGACTGCCGATATTTCCATGGATTTCTGGAACGAAGAATTTTGATAATCGAATAGAGAGACAGACAGGCGGTTCTATGAAGGTTATTTTTTTTTTTACTAAATAAGCTCCTAGATACTAAATAAAAAAATTCAGTAAGAGGATGGTAGCGTGAGTCATTTTATTAATAAGTTTTCCCCAGAAGGAAGCGTTTGAACTTACCTAATCTTTATTTATGCTGTACCTAAATCTCAAAAACAAATATTGCCAGCTTAGTGAAATAAAGTTTGTTTAATAGACTACTGAAATGTATTTGAATGAATGTAATGATATTTATTAATATGTTATCTGCATAAGAATTTGAATAATTTTAAGTGGTTCCGGTATATATCTATATATAGATATATATCTTAGTCTCGAAATGCCTACGACGCCTACAATCTTCCTTTACATTAGCTTCAGCAAGTCGTGGACTTACAGTCCATGCTCGGATTACTTCCTCTGAGGCGTGGAAACAAAAAAAACATAAAAATTACATTACCATTACACTTCAGTAAAATTGAACTTTTTTGGAGTAGCGATATATGATAGGTTAGTAAAAAACTTTCATTAATTTATTAATAGTTTATTACTAAATGAATGAAAGTTTGATGATATTTTAATAATATAGTAATTACCATTTTTATAGGTAACACCTATAAAAATGTTCTGCTCCAAGTTGTCATTTGAACTAGTTTAATTTCGTTATTATCATGTGATCTCATACAAGGGCTACGTGTAGTTCTAATGATCAATTTTTAATAAGGACAAATATTTTGTGATGAACATGGTTATTTGTTCTATGTCTGGGTGTAATTTATCTATAATATGTATGTATTTAAAAATATATAAGTATATTTATCAGCAGTCTGGTTACCATAGTACAAGCTCCGCCTAGTTTGGGATCAGTGTGCGGCCATGTGTGAGATGTGTGAGATATTATTGTTATTTATATTTCTAAAGTGGAGACAGACCTTGAAAGGTGAGAACTAATTGTATAAAAACTTCCATCTACAGAAGACCGTGGTCAATCAGCACTAGTTAGAGTACCCATAGAGAGCTGCTGAGTACTGCTGTTGAACAGTTTCAATGACACACGGAAAACTGATTACCGTCAGTGTTTACTTTAATTCGGTTAATTTTAGTCAGAACAACATACAATAACTTGAAAAAAAAACACATAATCGCGCCAACAAATTTTGTGTCAACAAAATAATAATGCATTATAGGAAACAGTTCTAGGAAATAACCTTACCATATCAATCTAAATGAACATGAATCGTTCTCAAAGTGACAGGATCAAAGCAAACCCCATTAAGGTGAAATTGTACCAAAAGCGCGAGCACGTAAAGGATCGCGAACACTTGTTTTACGAACGGTGCACACGTTCCTCCGGTCACGTTAATAAACTCCAATAGGCCGCAACAAGCTGGCTGCGTGTACGGCTTCCATTTTTAACGAGCCGCACCGCCGGGCCCGCAGAAAGTAGCCTACACATGAAATCACGTATGAATGAAGCTTTTTTTCAGTTTTTTCGCGTGTAGCCGACGGCGTGCCGAGGCCCATTAAAGCTTACATGTCACTCTCCCACTGCCCCCCGAGGGTGGCGGGCGCGAGGGGGTTGTTGGAAAAATCACAAAATCGGTATTGGCTGCATCCCGCAGCGCGAGCGGCCGCCAAAGCGCTACAATACAACTTTGACGGACGGTCATTTAATATTAACTGTGGTTTTTCCGCAGATGGAAATGTTTTTTTTATTGCCCGGCGTTACGCTGTGATGAAGTGGTCGGCCCGCTGTTTGTGACGCGGGCTGATGTGTTCTGGATGAGTTGCTCTTTTGCACACTCCATGTTTCAATGAGATTGTTTGGATATGAGTACTTGTTTTCATTTGTACTTGTTATATTAGTCGTTTATAAAATCCCGGCTGTGCGCTAAATGCAGTATTATTTTGTTTGTTTGTTTCCTTTGATATTTTACGTTCCGATGTTGATTGGTATGGTATATTTTTAATTGACGCTATTTGCCACGAATATGAAGCGGCTATTGTATATAGAACGAATTTATTTAATGCACAAAAACTGAAATCGAAACGGCAGTAAATTTTCAACTTTTCGAACAAGGGATCAAAATGGAACTACAAAAAGTTGGTTCTCGTCGAAAAGAGAGGCGACCACAGATTGAATTTATGGCTTACGCTCAGTATGAGTGGGAAGTTTGCGCAAATAATATTTTCAGTTTGTTATAATTACTTTTCCCTATAGCATAATTTAATGAAATGTTGAGTTGGGTTCATATTAAAAGAATTTTGTTATGTTATAGATTCAGAGAGCAAAATGGAATTGCATTTGCATATGTATTGTTACTGTTATAGTCAACGTGTGCAACGTTTCAACTCAAACTGATAGCATTAACTACTTATATTACAAAACACACATATTAATAGGTAATTTAATGACCTAAATGTAATATTAGATCCTTTTTTCATTTTGCAAATCTTATTGAGTTAGAGTTCTTAAAATAAACTCAGGGCAAAAAACAATATTCTTCGTATTCTGTTCATCATTTTCCGAATAGAATATATAACAATAACATAATGCAGGAGGGATCTACCTACTTCTGGGAAGCTAGACTTCTCCAAGCTAGGCAGAATTGGAGGTCATTCAGATTCAGATTCATAATGCAGAAGTTCAAGTTTAAGATACAAAATAGTCATAGTAATAAATAATATTTTAAAGATAGTGAACTTAAATGATTTGGAGCAGTGAGCGCATGTAATTTCAAAAAAGGAAGATCAGAATGATCATATACATAGAATAAAAATATATATAATATAGAATTGTATCAGAATTATATAATATATACTGTTTTTATAAACATTGATTATGATATATGTACATTACATTCATTGTAATATTTTATTTCAGGTAAATCGTTCACATTGACGATAACGATATCAACGACACCACCGCAGGTGACCACTTACAACAAAGCCATCAAAGTAACAGTCGACGGACCCCGAGAACCCCGCTCCAAAACCAGTTAGTATATTTACTTCCTTTTTGTGATGTGGAACCCCAAATCTATAACATTTGAGAAGTATTAGCATCTTCTTAAACCATTTAATGCCTTTAAATCAATACATTTCATTCCTGAGAAGTAAGGCTTATCACCCTTATACTACCACATATCTGAAACAACTCTTGATAATAAAGAATAAGAATATTTTAATTTCATTGCCAACATTCGACAACAACAAAATGCAGACACATGCTTTATTCACGTTAAAAGATGAAACAAGATATTGACATAACTGCAGACAAATAAGAGTAACTAAACGTACTAGTATATGCCCGAAGTTAAGTCTGCATAGATTCCGTGTGCCTACATGTTAATTAAAGATGTGTAAAAATCTCTCTAGGTGTGCGGAAAATTTAATCTCTTACACTAATATTAATATGAAATTGAAACAAAAGGTATTTAACGGTCCAAATAACAAACTAATCTTACCCCTAACACGTGTATCACAGCCCAATTAATTTCGCATCACTATTCTAATTTCTAAAAACATCAAAGCGTCCAAAATTTCCAAACACTCGAAAACAAACGAGGGTGACCGCAGAACATTGCAAAACAGCCGCCCTTAATGAAGGTAATTTATTAATAATTTGTTGAACGTACCTTTTTGAGTTCGCGAAGCATGAAACGGGAGGGCTTTCAAGAATTGTTATGATGTTAGACGTCATAAATGGTTGTTTACTATTTTGATTTAGCTGTCTTGTTGACTGGTGCTTCAAAATTCGTAAAAGGAGACTGTTAGAATTTTTCACTTGCTTGACTTTTAAAACTATTTCCATCACATTAGATATCAGGCCAAAAAAAAAATTGTAGGTAACCACCAAAGTGAACAACAGGAAAAATGACTGAGAAACAGAATTCTAATGTGCTCTACATCTTTCAGTTTAACCTTAGAACTGATGTACCTTCTATCCGTGAGATAAATAACATGTATGACAGTAGATTACTACTTCAATTATATTTATATGACTGAGGATATGTTTGCTTGCAAACTACACTACTAGATATCTACAGGTAAATAGCATCACTGTTATAGTTAACTTGTGATTTAGAAATAACGTAGATTCAGAATTGCCATACTTAATAAATATTAGTTGTAAATATTTACCATAAAATTCACATGGTGTTAATACTGCTAAGTTAAATTAGTATAAAAGAGTAAGAGAGAGTAAAGTGAGAAGGGTTCCAGAGGTAAATACGAGTATTCAAAAAGTTTAAATTGGTTCTAACGACTCCACTCACCAGCAAATATTCAACACCTTATTAGAAGTGTCAATTGCTTACACAATCATCCTGTTCTATTTGGGCTATCACAAATCTATTTGGGCTTCCTTGTTTCAATGAGTCGGACTTCCGTACATTCTATGAAAAGTCCGCATTTGTTCGTTAGTGTACTAAAAAGTACCACTTGTTTGCTGCTATTCCTTTTAAAGAACAAACTATTATGAGGTTTTAATATACAAAATATAAAATACTAATAAATTATACCACTTACACTAGTATATTCCAGAGCGCTTAATAAACTGTGCAAGTAAATAAAGTTCCATTTAACTTTAACTCTCACTTATCAAGAAACCAATTTAAATAGTTACTGACGTTGTGACGGTAACAAATGAGACTGTTGGAGTGTCAGGTCTACGCTTCAAAGTCTCACGTGCCGTCCGATCGATCCTCATCACGTAAGAAATTAAAATAATTGCGAGCACCGCGGGATAGTGCCGGCCTGAACCCCGTCGCCGGGTGAAGGGTTGAGTACTGTCGGGCAAATAGATTTTCTGTGATTTGCTTGGTTTATTACTTTTAAATATGGATTGGAAACTATCATGTTCAGGTACGTCATCGTTAACCTTTACATGCAACGGTTTAAGTAATCGCGATGCGCTGCCTGATTGTTGATTCTATTCAAGATCTAAATTTATTCCCCAAGTAATTGTCCCTACTTTAAGTATTGTTAGTGGTAATGAGGAAAATATAGCAAGATGAAACAATAAAAGATAGGGTCAAGTGCAGGTTTCAACACGCACTGAAATAATTCTTGTGTTCAGTATATAGATTTTAGTAGAAATAGTCCTTATGACCTATTCAATATTAGCACGATAGCAAAAAAATATTTTAAGGGTACATCTCGAACCTACAAAAAGATGCACTTACTTTTAAATGTACATATTTTAAAGTTCGACACTGCTATCTGTACCTTGAGCTCGCTAGACGAATGTGAGGGTACAAAGAGGATGCTGTAATGAATCGGTTGTTTAATTAATTAGTCAAGAAAGGGCCGGGGGAAGAGTGTGTGCGAGGAGGGACGAGGCGGACACCCTCACCGCGTATGTGCATGCCCTGCATATTGATTTATTAAGCCTCCAACCTCTCTCTATACGAAGACGATAAATTATTTAAATCTAGTAAGTTCCGACGCATGTTCTTATGGAAACTTATGTGTACATAGATTGTTACGTATATCAGTTCTTGGGACTCTACTGGGGTATTGTGACGACGTGATGCGTGGTACAAGAGCATTCTAGCGGCGATTTATAAAAAAATATAAATAGTCCATTAAAAGAAGTAAAAAATGATTGATTGTAAATTTTCTATGAAATTGACGTTGACGGAAGAAGTATCTAGATCCTTTAAAATATTGAAGATAGCACTTTTTTCTACATCATCATTAGTGATGTATATAATAATTTATAAAAACCGGTAGCAATGAGGTTCCAAACGGTAACATTTTTATCATTTAACTTTGGTAAAATCTATGAAGTTTATAGACTTCATACGATACACTAAGCCATTTAATTAATCATTACTGTTGAAAACCACTATTGGTTCTTAAATTACTTTTAACGCAAATAAAGAATTGTTAGCTATAATTCAAGAAGATCTGTTTAATCGTTCAAAGATTGTCACTTCTAATCATTAAAATGATTTTTTGTTAATGTTTACTTTATTCTGTATGTGTAGTTTTTTCATACTAAAGACGATATTACCTTCTTGTACTTAATAATTTCTTTAGATTACAAGTTAAAAGACGACGTAATTTTAGTTTCGAATAACTGGACCTCACAGGGTACTTGTAGGATGTAGTATTGGTTAAGACATTTGTTCAGTTGACAAGACTTATTTTGCAGGATCGTCGATGTTCCGTTACTTAGAAGAGTTAAATATAATTAAGCTCCCGCAGTATAAAATAAAATAGTTTAATAAACTATTTCTACCAAAACCGGATCATAATTTCTGAAACTGCACCTAAACTTGACAATAACCTATCTAGTAAACAATGTCTGAGCGGATATTACCGACACATTGTACACCCTCCACTATTTTTGTCCTCCGGAGTGGGTGGCGCATTTTATCGCCAGCCAGTAGCTAACTATTTAATAATCCGACTATTAACGATGTTTTTCTTGGTGCAGCTTCGGGTGCATTCGGGGTTATTCGGGCTATTTCGGGTGCGCTTGCAATACAGACCACCCGCGATCGGCGCTAGCGTCGCCTGCGTATGCGCCAGTCATTGTTTACACTGTAAAGTCTTTTGTTTACTTCACAAGGAGACTTAGTTTATAACTTCTGTATCGCTTTGTCTATATTTTAATGGTGGTGATGAACTTTATGGGTCGATATTTGTGGACAATCTTCAAGTAGCCTCTGAAATTTAAATTCAGTTCAGGTTACTTTAGAAGGAAATACCTATATCATATATACAATGTGCCTACCTAAGATCTACAATAAATATTACTATTACAACAAAAATGAGTCAAAAGATAGGGAACGACAGAATTTTGGAAATATAGTGAGTGGTACACCGTGCAGTGGATCAAATAGCGGTCAGGGGATGACGATGAATAAGAAATTTGGCTTTTAACTTTTAAAGATATATTATTCATACCATATATACTGTTATTTATACCAGCAAGGTGGGATAGATATGATTAGACCTAATACTAATGTCACTTAGTTATAGTCAATGGGTTTTCATATTTATGTCAAAACCTTACTAGATTAAAAAAAAATGTTCCTAAATGTATAAATTGAATTATTCATGATAACTTAAAAATATTTTCGAGTATTGTTGTGTTTACCCACATATTAAATTACAAAAGAAGAAATATAACGTAATTATGGTTAAAAGTTCTGTTTTTGAAAGTCACGCATTTGACACTTAATCTTTTATAAAAAGTATTCTCTTAAATTTGATATGTAATATTGTATTGTGAATCATGTCATCAGTGTCATGAATAATATTTACTTCTTTAATTGTTAGGTATTAGAAGAATGAAACAAAAAACAATATCTAAACAACTGTTCTTTTGCTTATATAAGGGATACTTTTCAACATTTTCAAATGTGCGCTGCACCTATCGGATCAATAGTATTTATCCGTCCGATCAGAATGTGTTTTATACATAAGCAATTTTATAACCAAAAACACACATCCAGTTTTATTAACTGTAAAATAATCAAGAAACAGTTTGTCTAGGTGTCACGCGATACGGTCCTGACAGGCCCTGACAAAAACTAAAAATATTGTCTTTAGGAGTGATATAGTAACTATAATAGAAGCTACAAGCTGAGGAACACAGACTGTAATTACATACTAAATCTAACTCAAATCTTCTAAACGAGCGCTCTAAATTAGCCATCGCTCTAAAGTAAAGGCTAACTAGTAGAAATACTTGGCATAATAAATTTAGCTAGACCGGACGCCACCCCGGTGTAATCCTTTAATCAGGTCCACAGTAGCCCTTGCCCGCACCCTATTTTTCCCCATCTGTAACCCCCCCTCCTCATTCTACCCCACACCCCTCGAACGGTGCAAATGACAGTTTCTAATTCCAACTTGCCATGAAAGTGTGTAATTGTTGCGCCGTTGATTTATACACTCAAACCTTTTACGCGGGAAAGGAGCATGTGTGCACGATTTAGGGCTGTCACCTCAGTGATAAATGAAATGATGTACTACAAATTTTTTAAATAGGTATAAATGTTAGTGATATTTATAAAAATAGCCTTAAAAAATGAGTTAATAAAATAGTTTTTATTTTCAAAGTCTGCGACGTTATCTGTAAAGTGGATGTTCCATTAAATATATACCAATACTCTTATTTTAAAAATATATTAATCCGATCCATGTACCCGAAATCAATGTGGTTAGTCTCATCAGATGTAAATAAAAGCAAAATTTAAGAAATAAAATAGAAATTAATAGTACACTCTGAAAAAATCAGTCTTTGTTGATGATACATTCAAAGTATTGATCCTTGGTTGCAAGGTATCTTATGTTTAATTTATACATCCTATCAAAAGACTTTTTTCCAAATGACCCATCTCCGTATATTTTTTTTTATCTAATAACACTACGCAATATACCACGTTGACCGGACGGGTTGGTATAGGGATTTTTTCAAGTTTTCTTTCTCTTTGTAGTGCTGTTATCCTGCAGTTTGTTCCCTTAGTGGGCTCTTACGAAACCCACCGGAGGAATAGGGGTGGTGACACTTCATTTTCTTAATAATCGGTCACCATACGGACAAAATCGTCAAAATTGTAAAATCACTAGTAGTTAATAGCTGTATTTTAATGGGATTCGAACTGTTTAATCACGATAATTTGAAATAGATAATGGGTGAGGACTATTCACACAATAATTTTCTATTAAAATGCTACACAGCTTAGTAAAATATATTTATAAATTGTATTTCATGGTGCTCTAACTACAAATCTATCTACATAAATATATTATTATACTTATGTTGTACTCGTATATGGTTTTTTTTTATCTTTTATCTATACCTATTACTCCTCCACATAATGTACCTCTAACATAATCCTAAGACCTGTAACTAACCTGTTTACGCAAATAGACGATGATTACGACTATGATTAAAACGCTTAGATTTAGAAATGAACTGTAACTCTTTATTCTATAACATATCAGAGCGCGCAGCCCTGTTTGCAATTGTTTTTGTTCGTATGTGTGCATTTGTCAACTTTATGTTCACTCCGTGTGCAGGTGCATTTATGTATTTTATATACAGAATGATCCCTGTGACTATGATGGCTACGAACGGTTATTAGAATTTTCGATTATTTGGCTTGGTGGTTATGAACCATTTAATGGTTTGGTTTCGGTTTTGTAATCGAGATGTCTATTTTCCGAATATATGAACATGGTAGAAGGTGGGTCATGATTTAATAGATCCTGATTATATTGATTATTGATTGAGTTGTATTGAAAACTGAGTTAAAAAAAAACAGGACAGACAATTATGGGATCTAAAATTATTTAAGCGTTTCTTTTTATCCCTTTGATATCAGTTTCTAGTGTCAGAGTAAGGACATATATGTACAATATTCGTACCATACATACATACATATTCCTCGTACACAAGCTAGGAAGCAGTATACGCATAAGCATTGAGATTGAATGATGTCGCGCGTGAAGAGTGTCGCGGCGAGACAATGCGGCCTTGTCGCTTGAATAATTTGCCAGATAGGAATGTAGCACCGCACACTGTATCTGCTACGAATGTTTTGGTGTTGTTAAATTGTTAACTAGAAATATATCAAAACAACTTTTGCCCACGGCTTTATTTGTCTTAATATGTATTTCATTATAGCGGACGTTCATTTTCATCAAGCATACATATATATATTAAAAAATCGACCAAAACTTGAATTTTAACAAACATGTTAACAAACCTACTTTAAAATTTACAATATTAGTTAGGATTTCAAATACAATGATTGTCCGCTACTAATGTACTAGCTTGTTATCTATAATTTTGGTCTATCCGGGACCTTAACTTGGAAGTACAATTTGGAAGAAAATTAATGTAATTGTTCTTGTATTATTATTTTCGTCTTCTTCTTAGCCAAAAGACGTCTACTGATGGATATAGAATAAAATAGAATAATCTTTATTGTACACCAATTCAGCATATTATACATACAATATTATTCCAAGTTAATGACCATGTACAAATGGCGGCGATATAGGTTATAAATAAAAATAACAATAAACAATTCCAGTCGTATCAACTTATCCGTAGAAAAAAAAATAGAATCTGTAGAAAAGAATAATACTTTAAATACAGTTTATCTGCTGAAAGTAGACTAGTAAGTTATTATCTACAGACTCGTAAGCCTATTTTCAAGTTTTGTCATACCACGTCTATAGACACTTCATATTTATAAACTAGTTGCCTCGACGTCACAGACCGTGATTAGAATCTATTGGTCCGCAATGTGGTTCGGAAGTGTTGAATCGTGAATCTGAATAGGGCATTAATATCTGTTAATTTGCTGGACTTACAGGTATTCAACCTTATTTGTTGGGCGGAGAATTATGGAATAGGCTTGTTTTGCTGTCAAACTGCATTGTCACTTATACTTGAAGATGTTAGTTATCTAATTAAAGGTTTAGCTTTTATGTTAGTATTAGTAATTGGTAACCAGACTGCTGATAAACAATATTATATATTTTTAAATACATACATATTATAGATAAATTACACCGAGATACAGAACAAATGATCGTGCTCATCACACAATATTTATCCTGGGTGGAAATCGAACCCACGACCGACACAACGGGTCGAAACGACGACAATGGTGAAAAATTAAAGTTAAAAACTGTGCCTGATGACGAACCTTCTAAAACAGGGATTCAAAAAATATTTTGGGCAAGAGACCCTCTTTCAAAATGAACTGATATCTCAGACCCCCATAGCCAAATTACTGCATGCTTATCGACTTGTTGAGCTTTTTAAAAGTACAAAAATGATACTTCCTACAAAAATATTAGCCATTTTTCTAACAACTTGATACACGTAACACAACTAATACAGTATCTTGAAAGTTTCAAATAAGAATTTGTGTTAATTGATAGGGGTCCTCATCGACCTCGTCGACCGCCAAAATTAGTTTTCGTTTATGACGATCCCTAAGTAGGTAACCGATTTCGACCCCAAGGGGTCGATATCGACCACTTTGAGAATTCCTGTTCTAAAACGATGTAAGAGTCGACACTGACAAGATGAAAAGACGCGCCTATTAATTAATATGTATAATGGGTTGCAAAAAAAACTTGTTTATGCTAAAAAACTGCATTAAAAAGAAAACGTTTATAAGAGATTGAAATTTCTAGAAGCCGAAATTACTGATACATTTGTACAATTGAGTCGCATTGTAATTCATCCACGTGTCAGGGAGGGCTCGTCACTAGTGTCAATGAATTATCGAGTGTCTCGAGAGTGAGGACAAATCGAAGGGTGACGAGAACGATGTTGTACCACTTATATGCTGTATTTGTATTTACACCGTCGTTTAAGTGACTGAGATTTTAGGGGTAGATTCTCTTGGCACTATACCCACGATTAAACCTGTCAAGTTTGATTTTAGGCTTTAAATTGATAACTATGAAACTTTGTTAACATTCACTGTTTACTTCAAGGGCTCTAAAAATCTGGTACCAGGCTATATACTCGTATAATCCATTTATACGAGTATATAGCCTGGTACCAGATACTAGATAGATACTAGATACATATACATAATGTATGTACAAATGTATACGTTGTACATGAAGTAGTAAATTGGTTACAATTATTTTAATGAGTGACGTAGGTAATTTGTACGTCTCAAGTGTTTCCATAGTCAGAGTCCCTGTCATGGATTCCATAGGACATTTCTAGGACTAAAGACACAATGGCAGTGAAGAGGGTAGCGCGTTGAGTCAAGGACTGGATTTGTAGGGTAGGATTTTCCTACTAGACGTATAAAAGTAATCATACTAAACCAAAATATTGATTCCATTTGTGTCTTCTTTAAAAAACTTTACTAAAGAGCTGCAATGAATAGCGAGGCTAATATTCAAATGGTGAAGAGGTATCCATTCATACTAATTTTATCGCCTTATAAAAATGACAGAGGTTACAAAACATTACAGAAGATCAATGATTTGATTGTTGATAAGACACACTTAAGTAACGAGTAACAGTATTTGAATTTGAAAAATAAATATAAGAGTATATTTTTTTTTTTTTATATTATATTATATTTTTTTCACGCGCATACTCAATACTTAGTGCCTTGAAGTGGATTTTATTTTCTTTAAGTAATTCATCAGTGTCTTGAATTCCATCGCCATATCAGACTATTATTATATTTTACAATAATGCTAGTTACAAAGAACAGCCTGTATCGTACTGATGTAGTGCTCTCTCTCCTAGGGCAGCAGCAGCAGTTCCACTTCGCGTTTGGACAGCGACCGTTTCCGTTCCCGCCTGATCCACTTGGAGGGTTTCGAATGCCGCCTATCACTACGTGTCAAAGTGAGTACATGTTGTATTACAATTTTTTTTAAATCTTTGCAAATTCTTTAAAGCTATTAGACGTCTCTTAGAATATCGGTTTTTATCAAAATATTATGTGAGTTATTTCTCGTGGGAGAGCCATTCTTCGGCACTTATACCACGGTCTCACAGAAAACTGGTGTTAAGAAATTCTTACCTACATTGCTCTTCGCCGAGTGAGTGAGGTTACCGGAGCCGGAGTTATACCTACCCCGTACCTTGATTCTGAGGGAAGGGACTGAACTAAAGTTAAGACTAAAGGGGAGGGACAGCTACGCATTTGTGACTCTTGGTATATAAGAAAAACGAGCAGATGGGTCACCTGATGGTATGTAACCATCATACTCATTAACACCTGCAACTCAACAGTCACAAGTGCGTTGCAGCCCTTTAAGTCCCTCTCCTGAGAGTCAGGAGGAGAGCAGGAGGGCCCCAGTTTACTAATTACTAATTAGACCTATTTCTTAGCGTTCTATGGAGTGACCGCGCGGGTGCCGGATCCATCGCGTCATAGATGGGGGACAACTAATGCGACTTCTACAGCGCCTGGTACTTGCGACCCAGGTATAGGTTTAATGAGTACTCCATGCGACGCATCAGCGCTCACTTCGACTGTCTGCTGTGTCACCCCCTCCACCTAATCATATTTTATACGAGCCTAGCAATGCCGCTTTGGATATTCGTTCAAGAAAAGAGCTTATTGAAGTTCTTGGTAATCCAAGGTCTTTAAGCAGGTTAGGTTACCTCCGACATCCCTCGTGCGTCGACATCATCGCCCATGGAGGAGTTTGTAGAGACAATCCAGTAATGGACCAGGTCTCCAACCTCCTCGTCCAGACGAACCTCAACCACTGTGCCGCGGCCCAGGATCTCTTCTTGCAAACCATGGCACAGTGGTTGATAGGCGTTGCCGTAGTCGCGGAGCCCTATTTTGTCCCTCCCCGTCTAAACTGGATGGGTGACTGGGACGGTTCCGTGGCAGTCGTCGGTTCCACGGCGGCTCATTCCCCGCCCTTGTCGCTAAGAGACAAGGGCACTGGATATGTTGCCGCCAAGTGGGGGGGGATCACCATATATGGTGTTTATTTCTCCTCCAACCGGAGTTTGAGCGACTTCGAAGTTTTCCTAACCAGCTTGGAGACCTCGATACGGCGACTAGCGTCTGGGCACGTCCTTGTGCTGGGGGACTTCAACGCAAAGTCCATTGCGTGGGGTTCCACCAGGACGGACGCAAGGGGCGAGGCCGTAGAGGAGTGGGCGGCCTCGGTGGGCCTCTGTCTTCTCAACAGAGGCTCCACCAACACGTGCGTGCGACAGCAGGGGGGGTCGATAGTGGACCTTTCGTTCACTACCCCTGCCCTCGCCGCACGTGTAAGGAACTGGCGTGTCCTGAATATAGAGATGATCCGAGAGCGTCTCAACCTCTTGGTTGAGACGCTCTCGGATCATCTCTATATCCGATTTGAGCTCTCCCGGACCCAGGACTCCAGTATGGGTCACGCGGCGCGGCGTTTATCCCGCTTTCCGCGGTGGGCTGTTGCGAGACTGAACCGGGACCTACTAGAGGAGGCAGCCATAATTCACTCGTGGCTGTCTCCTCAGGCTCCGATCGAGGAGGTCGACGTGGGGGCTGGTCGCTTTCGCGATGCGATTACGCATATCTGCGATGCAGCCATGCCCCGCATTCGAGGTCGTCGGCCTCCAAGGAAGGAGGTTTACTGGTGGTCCCAGGAGCTGGTGGACCTCCGTGCGGCCTGTACACGTGCCCGGAGGTCCTACACGCGCAGTCGGCGGCGTCACCGTGGAGACGGTGAGGAGGACCGGCTTCATGAGGAGTACCGACAGGCGCGGAAAACTCTGAAGCTGGCCATTAGCCGCGCCAAAGAAGAAAAGAGAGAGGAGATGCTGGAGGGTCTTAATCGTGACCCCGGGGGTCGCCCTTACCGCGCGGCGCGACAAAAGCTGCGCGCGTCAAGCACCCTTACGGAGACTCTCCAGCCCCCCTGGGCCAGACGGGGTACCGCCACATGGCAGACCGCCTCGGGGAGGTGTTCGACGCTAGCTTGGCGTCGGGACGTTTCCCTGAGTGCTGGAAGAGCGGGAAGCTGGTCCTATTAAGGAAGCCGGGACGGCCTGCCGATTCGGTCGCGGCCTACAGGCCCATCGTACTGCTGGACGAGGCGGGTAAATTGTTTGAGAGGGTTCTTTCTGCCCGCATCGTCCGGCACCTCTACGAGGTGGGCCCCGATCTGTCGGACGCCCAATTTGGTTTTCGGGCGGGGCGTTCGACAGTCGACGCTGTTTTGCGCCTGAGGGCCGTGACCCTAGATAAGACGGAGGCCCTGTTATTTCATGGGCCCGTCGTGGTCCACCCCCTGGCGCCTCAATCGTGGTCAACTCGGTCCTCGTACCGGTTCAGGCCCAGATGAAATATCTGGGCCTGATCCTCGACGGGAGGTGGCTCTTCGACGAGCACTTCCGACAGCTTGCTCCAAAGCTGGTCGGCGCTGCGTCTGCCCTAGGGCGACTTTTGCCCAATTTGGGTGGACCCAGCGTCGCGACAAGACGGCTGTACACGGGGGTTGTCCGGTCAATGGCACTTTACGGTGCACCGGTGTGGGCGGCGGCTCTGACCGCCCAGAATAGGGCACGCCTCAGAGGGTAATGGCGGTCAGAGCCATACGCGGTTACCGCACCGTTTCGACGGAGGTGGCATGCGCGTTGGCCGGAACTCCCCCGTGGGATTTGGAGGCGGAAGTGCTCGCCGAAGTTTATCGGCGAGTGGCTGACTCCCGGGCGGAGAGCGGATTTCGCCCTCCGCCCGAGGATGTGCGCGAGTGGCGCGAAGCCGCTCGCCGAGCCACGATGGCTCGTTGGTCGTTCCGGCTGGAGACTCCACGCGCTGGCTTCGCCGCCGTGGAGGCTCTCCAGCCGGTCATCGCCGAGTGGGCGGTGGCAGGGTGGCAGCACGGGACCCTTACCTTCCGGCTGACGCAGGTGCTTTCCGGGCACGGTTGCTTCGGAAAGTACCTGCACTCGGTCGCTAGGAGGGAACTGAGTCCCGCCTGCCACCACTGCGACTGCAGTGAGGACTCGGCCCAGCACACGCTGACGGTCTGCCCCGCATGGGCGACGCAGCGCCGGGCCCTCACTGCAGTCATCGGAGTGGATCTCTCGCTACCGGCCGTAGTACGCTCCATGGCCGGTAGCGACAGTTGTTTTACCGCGGTCGCAACCTTCTGCGAGGAAGTAATCTCGCAGAAGGAGGCGGCGGAGAAGGCCCAGGAGGACGACCTCCACTCGGACCCGATCCGCCGCCGGCGAACCGGGCGGCGGAGGCGCGCCTATCACCGCCTCATGCCGCCCTGAGTGTGGCCGCGGGTGGACGGGGTGGGTTTCCCCTCCACCCGCATTAGTTTGGCCAGCCGCGAGGGGGCGGCGTCCGCGTGTGCCGGACGTCGCCTAAAGAGAGGAGAATTTTGAGACGGAGCCCGCACCAGGAGCGGGCTGGCGCTAGGAGGGGTCCGGATGTCTTAACAACAGCTGTTCCCGGATCCCTCCTGTTACAGGCTTAGAGTGGCACACCGGGCGGTTTTTAGTCGGTCCGAGTCCGACACACCACCCCGCCGCAAACCCCGGTGGGGTGACAGTCCGAGGGGATTTCCACACGTTAAAAAAAAAAGAAAAAAGGTTAGACTTCCGCGAGGGGGCGGCGTCCGCGTGTGCCGGACGTCGCCTAAAGAGAGGAAAAGAAAAAAAAAACAAATTTTTTGAGACGGAGCCCGCAACAGGAGCGGGCCTGCGCTGGGAGGGGTCCAGAAGGCGATAACTACCTGGACCCCTCCTAAACTGGAAGCGCAAAAAGGGCACACCGTGTCGTTTTAGTCGGTTCGAGTCCGACACACCGCGCCGCTGAACGAGAGCCCCGGCGGGGTGACGGTCCGAGGGGATTTCCACACGTCCATAAAAAAAAAAAAAAGTTACGTTAGACTTATATGGCCTACCCGTCCCACCCACTTCCACGGCATACAATGCAACGACATAACCATTTTTAATTATTTCGTTAGTTAAGTTAAAGTACTTGTTCCTTTTTAAAGCGTTTTCTTTAGGAATGTTCGTTTCCCATGGCACCGTGAGTTCTACTGTTACTACATGCTTGAATAAAATTGCTTAAAGAAATATGTCTGGTTTAGACGCCAAGGAACAGATATCCTTCGGTATTCTGTAATGATTTTCATACGTGTCCACTAATAATGTCACAGTCGGTATTTATAATTGAGTACGGCTTTTGTGACGTCTTTTTTGTTGAACCTTCCTTTACAAATTCGATGTTAGTTCTTATGTTTGTTGTTATTCCTTTTTTCGCTCTCGCCAGCGATAAGCTAATAGCTTCGCGTATGATTTGTAATACCCTATCATGGCGACGTTAATAATGGCCCTGGTTTAATAGCGCCTTACAACTTGTCAGTAAGTGCCTGGCTGTACCTATTTCCGCACTGCACATCAAGCCTTTACTGTAGCTTTTCCCCACCTTACTAGGTTGCTTTGATCGGGGAGAGTCAATTGAAAGGTGTTGAGGTAAAATTTTAGCAGGGCAGGTGACCAATCGTATAAAAGTGTGCGCCATTTCAAAGCTGGTGGGTTAAAAATGTCTCCTAGAGTTAACCATTTATTCTGCATTTCTAGGTTCATTGCGTGCACCTTGTAGGTCTCGTTTTCATCTTGTTATAGGAAAGATTTTGTTATCTCTTTGTCGGTCTGTCTTCTAGCATTTCCCAATCTGACTCTACTGGACTGCGTACCCACCACGAATTTCTTGTGGAATTGGAGCCGTGACTCGAGCTCTGTTGATGAGGACTCATTCAGTGAGAAGTAACGAAGAAATTGCCTAACACCAAAACTCAAAAATACTTAGTAAAAAACTACAAAAATAACACTGCAACAAATACAGGAATCTAAATCGGAATCATTGTACAACCAAAACCTTATAACAGCCCCGCGGCTAAAAAAAAATGAATGAGTTGCTAAAACCGACGATACGCTAAACTATGTTCACTAAAGCGCGGATTCAATCAGCCGGCACCAAAAAGAGAATTGAACTGAAAGCTGACTGCGGACGCAATCGAACAAGCGTGCACTACCCAGCTAAAATCCACGGCCACCCCAAAACAACTCATGCGGCTCAAAACGAAAAAAAAAACCTTCGCAAATCGACGCGGGGAACGCGTATCGTATAAAAACCGAGTCTACCGAATCGCCTGCCAAAAACGGAACCGTGATACCGAAAAATAAAAACCGATGATCCTGTGAAAAAATAAAGTGTACGCAGCACCAATCGACATCTTTATAACTAACCGCGCGCTTTCCATTACTGACATTCGGATAGTCGGACATTCCACGCGGCGTTTCAATAATTGTGAAAAACAAATAACTTCCACTACGCTGTCTCACCTACTTGATTTATTAAAAAAGAAACAATAAAATACCTGCTTGTCAATACGAATCAAAACTTTATTAAGTATCTAAATCTACCACAAATCTTAGGGATGGAATGTTTAATGCTTACATCTGTAAAATATTATCGTGAAGGTTTAATTCTTAAAGCAAAGAACTTGCAGTAAAGAAATTGCAACACTGCCGACGTGAAGCATAGATTCTTCGTTTGTGTATACTCATTGGATCACAAAATCTATTATGGACATAAATTATTAATTCAAAAATATGATAGGTTTTGTAAAAGCTTGAAATAAATAAACATGGCCTTAAATATAATTTAATATGATACAAACGAATGATTAATTTGATTGATGGAAGCTTACGAAACGATAAACGACTTTGATAGATTTTTTTTATAACTAAAGCAATATACAGTTACAACTATTTAAAATATACATCAAACGATTTGTGGTTTAGAGTTAAAGAAGAATATTAATATCATTATATTAATATTACTTTCTAAGTGCAGTATAATATAGTATATCAGTAGTATGCAGTATAATACAGTAGTAAATATTAGATAGGTTCCGACATACCAACGTATTATTGACTGCCCTGGTTGGTCTAATAATTAGTGATTCTAACTATTGAGCTAGCTGCCGTGGATTCGATTCCCACCTGATACAAATAATTGTGTGCCAAGCTCGAGTGTTTATTCTGAGTGAAATTAATTCAAAACTTGTATGAATTCATGTGTTTATCATCCGTCTGATCACATTGGTACAGGTTCTGTATAGTTTAAGATGAGGCGGCCTCACGTGAGATTGTTTTTTCATCTAATATATTTCATGGTCTAGGAAAAAAAACCATATTTCAGAAACTGTTTAAATAATCAAGAGCTAATACTAATTACATACGTTCTTCCACAGATATGAGTCAGTTTGGTCTAAGTTCGAGCAACTCACACTGGGGCTACGGCAGTGCTGGTGCCTATCCTGCATACTTACCTTCGTGTGCGGCGCCAGCTGCCTCGCAGTTCAATCCACCCACGCTTGGCTTCGGCGGCACTGTCCCCGACCAAACCCCTACCCAGGACTTCTCCGCTAACAACACAGGTAAACAATGGATAATTATACATCATCTAATTTTTTTTTAATTTCTATTATTTTTATGAGTATATTTTAAAGAGACCTATTTGAAGTAATCTTAGTATAGAAGAAATATATAAAAAAATCTTTGTTTGAAAATGGAATTGATTCCTATATCACATTCAAATACGTCATGTATATGACGTGCCTACCATACTTTTTGTTTACTCTACGTTCCGATCAAATCGAAATAATAGTGGTCGACGTGACACCACAACATCGATACTACGGCGGATCAATTACTAGTATTTGGAATCGAGCATTTCATATGTACTTTTAATTGTTAAAGGTCTCGATGTACCGCAGCGTAACATGAAATATGGCTATCGTGCTCTCGAAACTTCGACATATAGAAATAATTTCAATACTTTCTTTAGATCCTTAGATTAACTTATTCTGTCTTTTGTAGGTATTAATCTAGTTATCTGCATTAATTAGCCGAATTTAAAACTATTTTTACAAGCAAAAATTATTGTTATAATTTTGTCGAATGATATCAAAAAGTAAGTTTAGACGTTAGTACGTTTTTTGATTTTTATTAGAAATAGAAAACAAAATTTAGATTCAGTTTATAGTGCAGACAGTAAACCTTCAATCTACAAATATGTACATGTGTACAAAGTTAAACCGATACTTTTATCCTAAAACCAAACTACCCTGACGGTTGTACGCCATGCATATGTATACAAAACTACAGATGAGTGATTGAGTGATAAGTGTAATTTCTGTATGGGAGGTACTTATCACAAATTCTTTGTCAGTATATAGAAATGAACAAAGAGCTCTCATTATTTATAATTTACAGCAGCTCGGACACGTCCGCTGCAGGCGATGAATTTATTGCTGATGCGTGCCCGATGCACGATGGTGAAAAATGAACTGATATTAAAACCTTACTATAGTTGTTTCGAATATCCCTTATTTTGGGTTCTGTTAGAATAGGCATTGTTATTAAAATAAAATATCTCAAGTTCCACACGTATAAAGTAGTAAATGACAAGAATAGTCATCATGTTGTTAAACATTGCTGTCAAAGTTGGTTTGAATATCGCGAAAATACTAAAATTGTGCTAAAGATAACATTAACATAGATCTAGGATTATATTAATTAGTAATGATATTGAAGAAATATATCAAAAGGCGAACCTCACTTGTTATCATATTATAAAATACTAAAATAACTAATTAAATTGTATCGGATTTGATTGAATCAAGTCCCCAACATTATTTCTCTCGTTTCCGAGTAAATATTAGTGTTTGTTATTTTTTTTTAAGGAGTGTTTAATAGTAATTAAAAAGCGATTTTCTTTGTTTGTGCAGTTTTGCCGGACACGACGGGCGTAGACTTAGATCAACAACTATCTGGTCTAGTTGGTTCCTCACCTTCCCATCACGGCAGTCTCCTTCCACGATACAACAACAACACCGACTATAGCTTATCAACAGGCCCTCGATCACTTAGCGACAACAGCTCACAGCCCGAGTCCCCAGTTCAGGACGATCTGCTAACATCAAACACGTCTACGAACATCGGGCACAATCACACTAACAGTTCAAACTTTTCCTCGCTAATGGGATCACAGAATTCCTCGTACGGCACCAGTAACTGCAACAATTCTCTGTATCCCGTCCTACCGGCAAGTCTATTATACAGTCAATTATACACAGCTGCAAATCAAACGCATAACTTTCATCCTCTACATTCAAATTCTATACATTCAACACAAAATCATCACAATGAACTACAGACTATGATGGATCAGATTTCATCTACGACGAATAATCACAGACAACACGGGACTCACGGTCAGGACTTGCTTCTTGGTGGAGGCAATTCTTGTGCAGCAGCTGCAGCGCGTGGTGAGGATGGACGGGTAAACAATTTGGGACAAAGAGGCAATCCACAGCCAGATAGCAACACAGTGTGGCGACCCTACTAAGTTAGAAGACAATTCTTTCTTATCATGAAATATACTCATGTTTGTAGAAATACGTCAGTGTCAGCACCTCAGATTAACCCGAAACCAAATGTGTCCATTTTATATTGTTCATGTGACCATGTGAATATTAAGATCAACGTTATTGGGACACTTTACACATATTCAATAACTGAGAATTTTTTTGAAGTTGGAATGAAATAGTGTCTCGAACATGATTTATTTTTGTATAAAGTACGAGACACAGTTAAATTTATTAGTTGGAATTTGTATTTAATTCAAAAACTCGCTCCCGTCCTAAATTTATACGATTTTTGTTGAATATAAAAATAGTGATAGTCTGAACTAGATTAATTTTTGGATATGGTGTTGTGATACGTTTGGGCTTTTGGCGAACAAAAGTAGAAAAGATTTCTTGTCACTGGCTCTAGTCATCTGAACTACCAAACTGTGCGTCCATTTGATTCCACAGTAAAATAAATCCTCACCAGAATAGACACTACAGTGTTTTTATCTAAAGTTTTACAATTTTATTAATTTAAATTACAAATACTTGTATTGAAAATATTTATTTAATATACATCGCTAGTGTTTGTTCATAAGTGTAGTTTGGTAGTTGAATGATTTTCTAACGTTAAATGAGTCAAACACCTAGTTATTTGTCAAGTTTGTCAATGTTGACACAAATTTGAAACAGGATTGCGTAAGTCCGCCACTGTTTATTATTATTAAAAACGAGGCTAAGAAATTACGTTGCGTTTTTTTATACTTACCCACCATATACGAGTATGCTGGAGTGTTCAATTCAATTATTAATTTAACAGGTCTTTTAATTTTGTTAAACATTAAACTATTTACGGCGTTTTAAAGCCTCATAGAGAAAAAACCTAAGAGGTTGTAAAAGTAAGACTGAAAATACCTCTAAAAAGCCAGGACCTATATACAACGACATATTTGAAAAAAAAAACAAATTTTGAAATTTGTGTTATGCTATCTTTACCTCCTTTCTAAGGAGAGGCCTATATCCAGCAGTGGACTATAATAGGCTGTTGATGATGATGATAATATCTTTACAACTTAGAAAATTGCTACGTGAATTCTTAACCTCGAAAAAGAATAGCATAATAATGCCGCCTTAAAACAAAATGGCGGCTTGTAAATAAAACCTGTGAATATAATTTGTTGTAAATGCATCTTGTAAAGTGCAATAGATGTGCAATTATAAAGTTGAGTAGATGTATACTTAGTATAAGCTATCTGTTGACTTTGTGAACTCTGTCCAGTTGTAGATATCTTATGTACTTATTATTTTATTAATTCCTTGTTCTATTAAACTTTGTTTGCTTTAAAAAACTGATTAAATTTATTCTTTGATCTACATTTTTATAGGAAAAATAAATACTAAACAAGACCGAAGCCTAGTCTCTCTTGAAGATTTTGTATGTGATGTATGTATATGAAATATGTAGGTATGTATGAATAAATTAAGCAAATACTAACTTTGACGACAGGTAAAGATGTGGTGAGTTAATAACAAAACAATGTTTAATTATGTGTTGTATACAATATTCGTTCTTCCAATTGTTAATACAGTAATTTGATACTCGTGCTTAAGTATTGTATATTATTATTATCCTTAGTTATATTTTGTGCAATATACCTAAATAATATATATCTTACTGTTTTTGAACTTAATTTAACTTGCATAGCAATTGATTTGTCGTTTCCATTTAACATTTCTTATAATTTCTGTTGACTGCAAGTAGCGGAATTCATTTTACAATAAATAAAATCTACAATTTATTACTGGTGTTTAAATTTCAAACTTATAACCTTGTCCAAAGCGGCATATGAATGTTATTCCTAGTTACATTTACACTGTACTTAAAGTGTTAAGAGGCACTTATTTTGAACAGAACTTTAAGGTTGTCCACATAACAATTTTTTTTTGTGCAAATCAACATACTTATGCTACTTATAACCTCAGATATCCAATAATGAGGTTTTGCTAGAGGTCATTATTTTCGGGTCAAAGAACTCGAAACAATACACAGACATCAAACATCCTTTGGTATATAATCAACCAAGAGGTGCATGATTTGAACATGAATGGCTATGACTGGAAAAAGTAAAAAAAAAACATAAATGTAAATCGGCATCATACAAACCAGTAAGCTGAAAATTTAATAAAATAACTGACAGATACTACGTCCGCCGTCTAATCAAGACGGCCACTAGTTTCCGTAATTTTTCAGCTTAGAGACAAAAAAGAACTACAATATACCAAACCAAGGGTACAGAGCCTTCCAAATCGTATTGGATGGGTTACGAGTGTAAGCAATACATCAGTATTGTTTAACTTGACTAAACATTCAGATACCTTAAAAAAAAGTCTAATAAAGTCGTATGGATGATGGAAAACTTATTACTGGCCAAATACATTAATGACCTTAGTGGAATCGAACATTCCAATTTACATGGGTACAGAAGATTGTTACTGTAACTCGCACGTTCCTTTGCATTTACACATTATAAATGCACTGAGTATTAAAATAGAACGTTTCTAATATGTTCCGGTTCAACAAAATTAATTATAACCATAGGTGGTTCCCGCTTAATCAGCTGAAAATGAGTAGCGATTGCGATGTCAACGAGAAAGCGATGAAATATTTATGAGTAGAGAATCTGGCAGAGTGAGTATCCTTACCTTAATTTTTAAGATATTACAATGCCTGCGGCATCTATTTTACTTCCTTACGCCACTTTGTCTAAGAATTGTGATACGCAAGTAAATAGATATGTGGCAGGTTCCGTGACGCGGCAAAGTGCCTTCTGAAGTGCCATTTTGTATTTTATTTATTGTTGTACTCTATCATTACAGAATAGCTTTCATTAACATATTCTGACTGAGTTTTCTTTGATAAATATAAATTTGAGTTAATCAGAGAAAAATTGTTAGGAAATATAATTTATTATCTACAAGTATATTACGTGAAGAAAATGTTTTTCCTTGGTAGATCAAATTAAATACTAAACACCTATAGTTTTATGTTACCGGTTGTATGTAATTTTTAAATTTATACATTGTTAATTGTTATTGAAATTTTTAGCTTTCTGCTATCTTCTAAATAATATGCATTAAGTATTCCTAATACGATAATTTTCAACAAACTATGCAGGATAACAGCAAATCAAAGAGAAGGAAAACTTAAAAACAAACCAGCTACCTACCTACCACCTACTGTACCAGCCAGCGTGGTACAGTAGGCCAAAACCTCCTTTCTAAGGAGAGGCCTATGTCTAGCAATGGACTAATAAAGGCTGTTGATGTGATGTTATATTTTATAAATATAAAGAAGTACCTATTAACGATAAATCAAGTGGGTTCAACAGCCGTTTGTAATATAAATATTATCTGCAGTGTTCAAAATTATTATCCCCAAATATTCAGAGCTTCAAGCTTCGAATATCAAACTTAATAAGCTCATTACTCTATGTTGGTATAGCTACCTGTCATATAAGTGAGCTGATATTTTGGCAGCTGCAAACGAAACTCTGGAATAAATATCCCACCCTCATTAATTTGCGCCAATGCGATACGATGGACAGACAGCAAGCCCATAGCTATAATGAATATGTGTTGTGGTAATTGTAGGACATTTTTTCCTTCAATCTAGCGAGCCAGTGGTAAATTTTCTAAAGCGACTTTACCAAAAGCTTTATAGTCTACGTTGTAATAATAATCTAACATCTAATCAATAACTTTATTGCATGTTTCTAGTTTAGACAAAGTATCTTAAAAACACTTTTTAGTGCCGGTATCATATGGAACTTCCAAAAAAGTATCCAAAGTATGTTCCTTGTTTCTTTATCCTTCAAAATGTACAACAGAGTACTTTCAAACACCGATTTTGTTCCAATTTCGAAGCTTGTATATCCAATAAAAGTATCTAAACAGTCAGTGAGCGAGTCAGTTACAAAATTAAGGACTTTATTTTGCAATCGTTTTCAATTTGACACCTAGTATATTATACTCTCTTAGACACTGACAAATTAAGGCTTCTAGCTTTATCCACCAGAAAGTTACGTGTATATTAAGGTTTTATTCAAAGTTATCTAAAATGGTGCATTATTTTTTAAGTAAATTAGGCAGGTGCAATTCAAATTAGTAAATGGATTTAAATCGATCGATTTCAGAACGGGTCACATCACAAAAATAATTTTTCTATACTATTTTTATTAGTTTCTGTATTAAATTTTTTAGCGTGTGGTAGACGAGGTATGGTCTCACCTATTATTCCCCAACCGTTAAGGAACAGGAACACCGGTCTTCGAGACGGCAAGGAAGAAATTCTCTGAAAAAAAAACATGTAGTTTTATGACCACCTGGTCACTTTATGTCGGAGACAATGAGATGATGATGGAAATACAAAATTGTGAGTGATGGTTGTCATCGTCTGGAATATTGTTGTTGCCAAGTCGTAGAGACCACCTTTCCAATCTAGAAAAGTCAAACAGATCCGTCCTTTTCGTCATTGGTCCACTTTACTGTTATTTTAATGTTCTTTGATTAGAAATCATGGCACATACACAGCTGTAGCTCGTAGAGATGTAGAGCCGTTCTTATTAATTAGGTAAGCATATTAAATTCTAATCAGATTGAATCGGATATTAGCGACACTTGCGTAAGGTCAGTCTTGTTTTCACTTTTTACATAGGTAATTATATTAAATCTTTTTCTCCAAAGCAGGAAGTATGAATACTGAGGTACCACTAACCAATGTCAATAAGTCGCGGTGGTATCTAGAGCCCTTTCGAATTTGTTTCACCCCATTTCTTTCATTTCTATAAATTTTAAATCAGAGTAAAGTGAGATCAGAGACTTTAAAAAAAATCATAGGCATTTTTTGAATAATTTTTGTCTTCAATATTGATGGAATCGCCAAATAACTTTATTGTTATCTTGAATAACAAAAAACGTTACTTTAGGTAGGTTTAAAGTA